ATAGGAACCAGATTCCCACCTCCAAAAGTTCCCTCACAGAAAGCTGTTAAAAGAAATGGTTATGAATCCACCGCCTGATGTCTGAGACATTGTTTTCCAATAGTTTTGGCCTAAAATGTATTGTTTAAAAACAATTCATGATGGAGAGATACATTCACAGGGTGTTCACTGTTGGTTTTGGATAGTAAATACAAAGGTTATAAATGCAGTGTAGACATTGTGACCCCTGGTTCCCATCACCGCCACTGTACAGCAATCTGAGTCAGTAAATTTCTCTACAATGAACCATTTCACATCAAAACACTCTGAATGATTTCATCTACTTCTTCACAATTGAAAGATACAGAAACAGCTGAACATTCTATTGTCAAGCTTGTAATGAAGAACTTTTTGGTGCTACATAGAACCATTTCAAAAATGTTCTATATAGAACCATATACAACACATTTTCCATCAATCTGAAGAAACTTTTTACCACTTAAGCAATGAAATGGTTCTGTACAGAAGTCATAGTACTATACAGAACCATGCTCTCTACTAAAGGACCTTTATAACCATATTTTAAGGTCGTACGGCAGATCCTGATCCCAGATCAGTGCTGACTGCTGCTTCTAGCAAATAGTGTTCATTCTATTTGTGTAAAATTGTCAGGTTGCAAAATTCACCCCACCACTGTTGAAAACAATGTGGACTCCATAATGTAAGAAATGTGGTCTTATTATTTTACACCAATATAAATATTAAGTATTATGTTAAGGGTTAAGTATTGAATCATCCACCTTACAAGGAATATTATATCATATTCTGATAGCAGTCGTAGTATGACAGGAATATACATTTAAATATTAAAGCGTTTCTAAAGACAGCGCGATCCACAAGTGAATGGATAGTGACACTTTTTATTAGTGAGGCACCAAAATGAAAATTCTTGACCGAGACCAAAGTTCAGGACACATTCAACCAAGAAAATGAAACGGAAAGGAAAGGTTCTAATACGTGTAATCTGCTCTTATATTTATGCTTTTGAATTAATGTAATATTGCTGATGAAGCTTCAAAGGCGACATTCACCATGTTAGCCCTTTAATGTTCTGCTCAACCATTTGGTGGAGCACATTTTGAGTCACTATATATGCCACAAAGTGCCATCTTGGCTGTTTGGTAGATGTGAATATTTAAAGAATTGTGGGGTCAAAATAAAACAAAACAAAACAAAACAAAATACACCAATTGTTTTTATTATTGCCCCAAACAAATAAAAAATACAAAATACAAAATTCCATTGCTTTTTTCTTGGTGAGCACATTAAAGGGTTAAAAAAGAGAACCGAGAGAGAGAGGACTGCTTACTAAGCAATATTGAATATTACAAGTTGTAAAATTATGAAAATATATTACCTCATTGCTTCCAAAAGCTTAAGCTGAATAAACATCTAGTTTTTTGATATGTAAAGGATGTGGATGTGGCTCTGCAACTCCCTCCTAGCAGTCTGAAGTTTCTCCAGCAGGGGGCACGACTAACAGACTAGAGTAAACCCACACCAGCAGGATCTAACAAAGACGTGTCTGCAGTAACGATTTTCAAAACCTGAGGTGAAAATTTAGTTAGTTTGAGTTATTCAGCATTATTTACGTCATTTCTGTTCAACAATTTCATTACATTAATTTAGTTAATGCTAAACAGCGCCTGAGTTAAGACCATATAAAACGCATAGAATGCAGCTGCTTTGGAGTGTGTTTGTTTCACTAAGGTTCCTATTGTTACAATACCAGCTTGTTACAATAGAAGAACCCTTTTTGGTGCTATATAGAACCCTTTTTAAAAAGATTCTATATAGAACCATCTACAGCACTTTCTCCATCAATCTGAAGAACCATTTTTTGATGCAAAGAACTCATGGAAAGGGTTCTTTGAGTGTTCATAGTTCTAGATAGAACCATTTTCTTTACTACCATGTTTTTAAGAGTATGCTAAGAGAATGTCTTACAAACCTGACGTAGCTTGTTTCGATTGGACCCTGTTGTTCTGTGTTCTTCTCTTGAAAGTACACCGAAGGGAACCTTATACAGTATTGTGACCCCAGACATAACTGATTTTACGGACAGAAAGTACATTCCAGTTAACTGTCAGGTCCTGAATACTATGTGTAATGACCACTAAACAACGCTGCTAGGCAACAATGACACTTCATAGAATAGAAGGTTTTCATGGATATCATCTTTGACATCTATCAATATTGATAATATTGAAAACTGCTATCATGGTGTGATACCAACGCTGGTATACCAGTGATGATCTGATGATCACTTGCTTGTTTGTTTGCTCGTTTGTACATTTCTTTGGTACTTATGTGGAGAAACAACACTAGGAGACCTATAGAACATCCAGAATCAACTCTAGACCTTTTGTTCTCTCTCTTATCTGTACAGCAGGGTTCAAGCAATGATGTAAATAAAAGCTGAACATTCTTTACTTTCAACTCAAGTTAAACTTTAAAGGGAAGCCTGATTGTTAAGGCATATAAGCCTCAATATGATGCACATATATTGTATATACTAAGCAAAATATTTTATTCTATTATTAAAAATAATAATTTCTCACTTAGCGGGTTGCTATTTCTGTTGCAGCCTCAAGTTAAGATACACTTATTAGTCCCGCAACAGGGAAATTTCACTTCCACCCATCTGTGCAGTGAAACACCACATAACCACTGGTCAATGCGTGCACACACACTAGGGAGCAGTGAGCAGGCCTATCCGCAGCGGGGGTTAGGTGCCTTGCTCGTTCAGTCATATACTGTCAGCTCAGGGGATCAAACTGGCCACCTTCCGGTCACAGGGCTGATTCCCTAACCTCCAGCCCATGACTGCTCAATGTGCATAATGCTTTCTACTTCCTTTCCCTCTCCACTGAGCGAGGGCCAGTGAGCTAAAGACCAAATTCAACTCAAATATCTATTTCAGCCGTTCCAATTTTGGCTAGTGTGACATTACCAAAGTGAAAAACTTTGTGATTGTTTTATTTTCCATAGGACTGAACGCTGCAACCATATGACATCATAGAGTGTGACAATGGTGACTTGCTAGTCGAGGGATTTTGCCTCTTTGCCTTGTTTTTATCAAAATGAACGAAATCCATTTGGTTTATTTGTCTCATTTTAGTACTGGAAATCTACTTTAACCCTTGTGGGGGGTTCAGGTCTGTGTGACCCATTTTCAATGTTTACCAAAAGATAAATAATGTGATTTATTATTATTTTAACCTCAGGTTTTTGGCCTTTGCTCATTTTCTGTGAAGAACATATAAAATAACCCATTTTCAGTGTCTTCACTCTGTTCACCCCCCACACATTTATATTACACATGTGGTGTTGGGCTGAACCCGCGGGAAGTAAAAGTGTGGAGGTGCTGTGTCCTTCACTCTGTTCTCCTCCTACATGGCCTGCTGTTAGTGTGTGTGTGTGTGTGTGTGTGTGTGTGTATGTTTGTATATGTGTGTGTGTGTGTGTGAGAGGGTGGACAACATCGATAGGCTGCTGACTGGCTACAGCTGCTAAAGGAGAACCCTACGCTGACCACTTGTGATATTTCAAATATCTGGTATTTTTACATAAATTGTTATGGCTGTATTGATTTAAAAGAGCAATAATCCACCAGACCACTGAGTAACAAACGCATCAACACCACACAAGGATTAAAGCAAACAGGTTTTAACAGTCAGGGTTCCTCTTTAAGTGTGTGGCACTAGTTTGTGTGTGCCAGGTGGTGTACCACAGTGGTTTTGCTGAGGTTTTTACACGTCAATGTCACTGCTAATTTGAGAGCGGTCCAAAAACTGGCCGTCGATGGAGGACTACAGCAGGGGTGTCCATTATTTTCTGCAAAGGGCCAGTGTGGCTAAAGGTTTTCATTTCAAACAAGCAGAAACACACCTAACTCCGTTTGTTCAATCGGTAGGTTTCAGCCTTCAAACAGTTGATGTATGTTTTTGTTTTGCTGGAATGAAAATCAGCAGCCACGCTGGCCTTTTGTAGATAAGACTGGCTAATGGCCAGTGATATGGCTAACAGTTGAGCTACAGTCTGCAGGATTCACCAGCAAGGTGGAGCTACAAGGTAAGTTTTCTGCAAAGGGGCCAGGCAGCCTGTATGTCCACAACACAAAATACGCACACTCAGAAAAGATGGTTCTTCAAGAGTTCAACAACGTAAAGACAACGGCCGGCCGACCAGGGTCCTTTGTTGGGTGGAGTTTGCATGTTCTCCCTGTGTCTGTGTGGGTTTCCTCCGGGTTCTCCGGTTTCCTCCCACAGTCCAAAGACATGCAGTCAGGCCAATTGGATATGCTAAATTGCCCCTAGGTGTGAGTGTGCATGTGAATGTATATGTCTGTGTGTCTGTCTGCCCTGCGATGCACTGGTGACCTGTCCAGGGTGTATCCTGCCTTCCACCCAAAGACTGCTGGGATAGGCTCCAGCTCCCCCTGCGACCCAGAAGGATAAGCGGCTTAGAAGATGTGTGTGTGTGTGTGTGTGTTGTATATGGTTCCATATAGAACCTTTTTGAAAATGGTTTTATGTAGCACCAAAAAAAGGTTCTGCCATTGTTACGATGTCAAGCTTGGCTTCCCCATCAAGCCGAATAACAATGCCAGCATTTAAATGGTTCTTTGAGTGTTTCTGGCTCTTTTTAGAACCGTTATCACTACTAAAGAACCTTCGAAGAACCATTTTTTAAGAGTGTAGCTCTTTTCTTCCGTTGCACTGTCCCTTTAAGGCCTTACATGGACGTTTATAAAGGAGCCTCCAGTGAAAATGAGTCTGGGAGAGGCTGCAGTCTTTTTTTTCCCCACACATATTCCGGCAAATCCCGCCCTCCTGCGCTGGGATTGGATAGCATTTCCTCGTGAGTGTAAACTACTAGCCAATCTCAGCGCAGAAGGCGACGCTTCCAGCCAATCCCAGCTCGTGTGGGCGGTGCCTTTCGGAAAATAGGTGGGAGAAGAAACGCAGTCAGCAGTAGCAGTAAACAGGAGAGGAGCAGAAAGCTAGTCGGCTGCTTATGAACACACAGGAAACACTACGTGGACTATTTCAACAGCTACACCTAAAACACATCCATTCTCCGCCTCTAACAGATGCCATAAATTAATTTAGTTTGTCAGCTTTGCGCCTGTCTTTTCTTCGGTCCTGCCGTTTTAGTAGGAACTTTTCTTGGAGCAGAGAGAGGAGAGAAGGAGGCACCATGCCACGAAGGACTGTTCAAGACGTAACAGTTCAAGATGTGCAGAAGAGGAGGAATCCCAGCAAGCATTATGTGAGTTTATCTGCTTCCCTGCACTTTTTCTTAAAACATCTGGTCGTTTTTGACCTTTTCTGTCTTTGTTTTCATTAGTTTGGTGGAGATTTCCAGCTGTGCTTACTTGAACAAAGAGAGGGGTTGAGAAAATGAACTCAGGGAGGATCAGATTACACTGACCCAAAGAGGACTAGACCTAAAGAAAATGGGTCATTTTTTCCAAAAAAATGCTAAGTTGTCAGTTTTTGCTGGGTTTCTTTCACACTTGTAGAGTTTTCTAGCCTGCATCTGCTAAACACAGCAGAAAAGTGTCTGAAAGAGTTCATCTTTGAGCACATTTTACATAATCATTGGTTTAATGTAACCTTTTCTGTGTCATACATATGCAGAGCTTTGTTGACTTGTTAAATATAACAGGCCACAAAGTCTCCACAGCTTTACTGTGATGGAAATTTTGCTGAATTCAGCTTCCTTTTTGGTTTTATGACTCCTTTAAAAGTTTTCTTTGTTCACAATCTGTCTTACAAACTGCCATTTCTACCATCTCGGGCCTCAAATTTCGAATAAAGCATCCAGCCCACGTCCTTCACTGTAAATTTGGCAGAAGAGGCGGCTTTCAGCAACATTTGTAAGTGTGTAGGCATTTTGAGTGTTATGTTAATGTGAGGATGGGTGTGGATGGGGGACGTGGACTCACTGACCCTTTAATGTCTGACAGAATATATTGTGGAAATACCATATATAACAGAACAACAGGAGTGGGTATTTAAAAGACAGGGCGGTTTGCAAGCAATTAGACATTGAGACATTTTTGTTGTTTTGGCCTCCATACAGCACAGTATATTTGAGATGAAGCCAGGACTGTGGAGTTAAAAGTGCTGAATACCAGCCTTAATTTCAGTGCTTCATCTGTATCTTTGAGTGTACCACATAGAAATCACAACCCTTTACACATAGACCTCCATTTTTAGGGGAGCAAAAGGAATTAGACCTTTGGCTGGTGGTCAGTTGTTTCTAGGGCTGTTAGGATTAATCAGTTAAACAGGATAGAGCAGCAACGATTAATTGATTAGTTGTCGACTATTAATCTTGGTAATCGATTAATCGGTTTGAGTAATAAAAAAAAAAAAGGTAAAATTCCCTGATTTCTGCTTTTAAATTTGAATATTTTCTGGTTTCTTTACTTCTCTGCGACTCCAAACTGAATGTCTTTTATGGTGTGGACAAGAAAAGTCAATATGAGGATGTCCTCTTGGGCTGAGCGACATTTTTCACCATTTTCTATTTTATAGACCAAACAACTAATCGATTAATCGAGACAATAATCAACAGATTAATCGACAGAGAAAATCATTGTTAATTGCAGCCCTGAAACAGAATTACCCGATTAACAAAAATCATAGATTAAGATGTACAGTCTCAGTGAATTATGAATTGGCAGTGATTACAGTTTGCATGATGATAATGCATATTTTAAGTTCTCATACTGTTTTTTTATAATAAGAAAACAATCCTTGCAAACAAAGGCTTTCTTTTTTTCAGTAAAGTAGTTTGGTTTGCTGTTGTTCAGTTAAGTCCATTGATATTATTTGCCATTTTTAAAATCCCTGATAGCTCAAATAATCACCAACAATTGGTGGATGGTGGTAGTTTGGTAAATGTGTAGGCATTTTCAGTTTTGAGTCAGTGTGAGGATGGCACTGACAACATGTATGTCAAGTTTCTGCTTTTCCAGGGCCGTAGTCCTGCATACCACACCCTGCTTACTATTCCTCTCAAGGCCATGGTAAAAAAATCTCCCAGCAGTTTTACAGTCATGCTGCCTGTTGGCCTGTTGGGTCCGGCTCAGGGCCCAGTGTTTTATGGACAATGGCAGTGGCCAGATTAACATGTGGCCATTCCAGCCTCTCCATAAAACAGCTGAGATCACTGCAACAAGCCGTTAGTCAGGCTTTTGGATTCGTCCTTTCGGAACGTGTCATAACCACAGATCTCTAAGGGGGTTCACGCTTTTGCATTTGAGCTGTTGCAGTTGTTGGAAAGAGGATTGATTATTAGCCAATGCTGTTGGACAAAGGGTGAAAGAATGCGTCTTTCAAACTGAGCATAGATGCATATAAGGGAAAACGTATTGGGTCACACTTCCAACTTCAGTATTTAACATGCTGCATTCCTTCAGAAGCAAATAATCAGAGAACTGTGATCATTATTTATTATCATTATTATTTATATAACTTTAGTATACCTAGGAGGAGGCCTGGATAAGGAGGACAGAGGGTCAGTTTCATTTATATAATTAAATTCTGCACAGTTTCTTTTGCATAATTAAATCTGGTGGCCATTTGTTTTCATTCATTGGCCCACATTTATCAAACTCCTCACAGGCTACTTTCACATTACCAGGCTGAAGTGGCACAAATCTGACTTTTTGCCCTAATGTGACTCAGATCTGATGTTTTCAGAGCTGTGTGGACACAAATCTGATCTTTTCAAATCCGACCTGAGCCACTTTCATATGTGGTCCTGGATCAGATACGAATCCGATTCGTGGCCATGTGACCTTAATGTGACGCTCAGATCGGAATTCATGTGCTTTTTTTCCACTGCGCATCATTCAGCGTTACCATGGCAGCAGCGCCGAACAGAAGTTAAAGCCTGTAAACAGTGGAAAAGCAGCTCATCTCACCTTTTTCTTTTTCGTCTCGCTCTAATAATGAAGCTGAGAGCTGATCAGAGTTAATTATCTTCTCAGTGAAGCTCGTTCTGCTCGTTAGTTTGTGCTGATGATTCATGTGATTCATTCACGTGACGTTACTGAGTAGGATGTGCGCATGAGGGTCATTTCAGGACGCTGGTTCATCACATTAATGAATTTGAATCGCTTACCTAAACGAGTGTGAACCATCGTGTCAGAGAGATCGGATTCGATCAAAAAATCGGATTTGAGCAATGAGGCTTGTAATGTGAACATAGCTTAATAATGCTGATCCGGGGTCAGCTTACAGGTTTTACATAACACTGAATAGACTTACATGAACTGATTAAACCTGATCTTAGATCAGTGTGCTTACCTGTAAATGACTCAAAAATATGGGTCATTGTTAGCAACATTAACTGGACAGTGACTGAACCAATGCACCAAAATGAATGATGTACCCTACATTTGTTAACAGTGTGTTTTGTTGTCTGGGTTCAGAATATAAGCTGCTGGAAGTGACCTCAGTCAGCTGTGAGTCATCTTTCATGTGAAGATGGCCAGTTAATGACGTGAGGTTGAGGATGAGAGGATGTTAGGTTTCCTTTTGTTTAAGTGGAAATTGCTCTGACCATGTGGCCTGACTGGACTGACCAAACCACTGAGCTACACTAATATACTAGGGATGTTCCTTTCTGATTCCACTTCTCTATTTCTGTATAGTCAAGAATATTTCCAGATGAAGTAACGGCTGTTTTCAATCACTGCATAACAAAGCATTGCACAATCTCAGATCCAGCTCATGCAGTGTCTCGTGATTTTTGAAGCTGTGAGTTTAATCAATGTACGTCCACTAGGATAAAATAACATTGTAGAGCTGTTTTCAAATATAGGAATCTGTAAAAACATTGTGTTTTCATTGTCTGTGTTCTGCTACTGCACAAGCAGCTCCAGTCATATTTACGTATTCAGTGTGTTTTACACTGTTGGAAATAAAGGTTCTGTGAGGTACGTTTTTCGTTCATCAAGGTACAAACAATGTAAATGTTCCCTCAAAGGTACAACAGTGGTTTTAAGGTCCGATTGTGAACCTTAAATAAGTTTTTTCCAGGTGAAAAGTTCATATTTGTACCTTTTTTATAACCGAATGTTTTAAAACAGAACAGTAAAATAAAAGCCTGGAGACGAGACGGGGTGTGTGGAGTCAGTACAGCTTAGAGAATATAATTTCAGTGGATTATGGTTCAGTTATGTTCCCTGACTAAAGGTACTGAGATGTACCCTTGAGGGTGCCACCCCAGTGACAAGAAGGGCACTGCCCCAGTGACAGTTTAGTACTTTTTTTTCTGAGAGTGTAGAAAAGTCAAACTGAACTAATTTGAGAATCTCAATCATTTAGTTAAAATAGCTGTGGAATCGCTGAGGTCAGAGATCTACACCCCCTAATGTCCACTGTAATATCTCACTAGGTTTAATGAAAACCAGCATCTATTCATTGTGGCATTAGGAAGACTGCTTGGTGCTTAGACAGCAGAAAGTATCATGTATCCATGACAGTTAGGAATACGTGTCCCATGGGAATGTACTGTCTTTTCCTCTTCATCCAGTTACTGCTTTTTACCCATTTGGCTGCTTTCAGGTCCCAATCTTTGTAATTCTCTCACCGTGTTGGATAACAATATGGACAGCCTAGAAGAGTGAAGGCCACACACACTTCCTCCAAGCTTTATGAAGTCTCTTGCCAAACCTTTTCAAGCCAGCAGGCTAGAAGTGTAGCACTGTGAACTCCCCAGTGTGTTTGAAGGAGAAACTTCGGCCAGCCTGGACACTGTGTGGACAGTTGAATGATCAGTAGGCCATGTGCCAAAAGAGAGAATGACCTCTATAATCCAGAACTTTTCTTGTGAGAATGCGTTTGGGTTGGAAGGGCCAAAAATCTGATCACAGTATATTTTTCATAGCGTTCAGTATTGATAATTATCCAGCATTTTTACGCATTTCGCTGTTGTCCGAACAAAACCATGTATCTCTATACATTTTGTCATTTTTCAGTTTTTGACATAATTTGAAAATGCCTGTTGCCCTTTACATTGTGTACAAATTTCATGGTGAATGGACCAAAAGAAACGGCGCAAAATGACTTGGAAAAAATTCTGGTTCCATTGACTTACATTAAAAGTAAAGCATCTTTTTCCTTCTCCTGTAAAGTCACCCTTTTGGAGAGACAAGGTTTTGTTCCGACAGCAGTGATTTCCTAGTGCTGAGTCTAAATAGCATTTTGAAAAAGTTTGTTCTGGTACGATATACCAAATGATGCGTTCTCAAAACATACAGAACGTAAAATAGAAAATACTTTAAATGTATATAAATGTATATATTCAATGATATAATTTGTCTACAAGCCTAAAAAGATTCGTTTTGCTTCTTTCTTAGCTCGACACTGGCGTGTGCTAGTATTTTGGTTGGTGTCTAATGTCTGTAACAGATTAATTCACCGATAAATCACTGTGCAATACTTGTAAATACCTTTTATAGTGTAAAGATTCTTTTGCTTTTTTATTTAGATTTGTCTATATTGTTAACTTTGTGAAGGACAGAGTTTACATTTTTATCTTTTATTTATAGTTTATTTTTATTCTTTTATACCACTGTTGTGGGAAGAAAACCTTGTATCTCCAAAATGGTAACTTTACAGGAGAAGGAAAAACATACTTTACTTTTAATGTAAGTCAGTGGAACCAGACTTTTTTCCCCCAAGTCATTTTGGGTCATTTCTTTTGGTCCATTCATCATGAAATTTACACACAATGTAAAGGGCAACAGGTATTTTCAAATTATGTCAAAAAATAAAAAATGACAAAAATAGATACAAGGTTTTCCTCTGACAGCAGCAATATGTTGTATATATGGTGATAAGTAATACTTTGTATTTAGTTGTATTTAATCTAGGTAATTACCTTCTCTTCCTGTTACTCCTTTCTTGAGTGCCTTGCTCTCCTTTCACTGCTGTAGCACTGAGAATTTCCCCTGTGGTGGGACTAATAAAGGCTTTTCTTATCTTACCTGTATCTCCTACATAAGCATACAGTAATTGTGGTATGTCCAGGTCTGTCCAGTCTCTCCAGTCACCTGGTATGTGAGCTTTATAGTATTAAAGTTAATCCAGAGCCACTTTTCTATCCATTTGGAACGATTTTAAACTACAGTTTCTGAGCAGTCATTTCTACTGTAATCCTGCTCTCTGGTACAGCCTAGAGGAGTCACAGTTCCTCTCCTCCTCCAGCTCATTCGCTGCTGCCGTCTCCCTCTGCCACACTCATTATTTTCATTTTCAGATTTTCAGCTGCTTGTGTGGTGTTCTTCCTTAAGTACTAATGCTAATGTGTAAGAGTTAAAGTTGTGAACCGCGCTCAACTGCTCTGTTTCTCTTTTTCATGATCTCTCTAGGTTTACATCATCAAGGTGTCCTGGTCTGATGGCACCACAGAAGTCATTTTCAGGAGATACAGTAAATTCTTCGATCTGCAGGTACGTTTTTTTCTCTGTCTTTTTTTTTTTTCTAATTCCACTGACCATTTGGATACAGTTATTAACCACTGCCTGCACAGTCGAAATGATATTACTTACAAAGGAAACTGTCTGTAGCTGTTCCTGTAGATCTGCTGGAATCATCATTTGGCATTAGCAGATTTGGAAAACGAACTAATGGGGTTTGGATAGCTCAGTGTGGATTTCACAGATAACCACAGAAATGCTTATTTCAGATGTCGGCTATTACGCAGACGGCCTTATAGGACAGGCGGGAAAGTCATCACTTGTGCTGATCTTTGATGCATAGACACATGAAATTATTCAAGATATTAAAGTCAGACATTTAACGTAACACCGTCTAATTCAGATTTGTTTTCTAAGTGTCAGATATGAGTGGAAAAAATATTAATGAAAACTTGCGAAGGCAATAGTGCAGGTTTCCATTGGTAAGGAAAAAAACATAACATTCCAGAAAAGGATCTACTTGGACTTTAACCCTTGACTGTGTATCTGCGTGACTGAGTAATGACCTACTTCTGTAATGTCTGAGATAACAGAAAGGTGCAGGCAGTAGGTCATCTGGATATGAGTTATGGAAGAGATTTATCCAATGGAATTATGAGTATGTACACAGATCAGGCATAACATTATGACCACCTCCTTGTTTCTACGCTCATTGTCCATTTTATCAGCTCCACTTACTACATAGGTGCACTTTGTAGTTCTACAGTTACAGACTGTAGTCCAACTGTTTCTCTGCATACTTTGTTAGCCCCTTTTACCCTGTTCTTCAGTGGTCAGGACCCCCATGGACCCTCACAGAGCAGGTACTATTTGGGTGGTGGATCATTCTCAGCACTGCAGAAACACTGACGTGGTGGTGGTGTGTTAGTGTGTGTTGCGCTGGTCTGAGTGGATCAGACACAGCAGTGCTGCTGGAGTTTTTAAACACCTCAGTGTCACTGCTGGACTGAGAATAGTCCACCAACCAAAAATATCCAGCCAACAGCATCCTGTGGGCAGCGTCCTGTGAGCACTGCTGAAGGACTAGAGGATGACCAACACAAACTGTGCAGCAGCAGATGAGCTATCGTCTCTGACTTTACATCTACAAGGTGGACTGACAAGGTAGGAGTGTCTAAAAGAGTGGACAGTGAGTGGACACAATGTTTAAAAACTCCAGCAGCACTGCTGTGTCTGATCCACTCAGACCAGCACAACACACACTAACACACCACCACCATGTCAGTGTTACTGCAGTGCTGAGAATGAGGTCATAATGTTATGATCGGTGTATGATCAGCGCAATAACCATTAACCAAAGGGCGCGCAGGTTTAGGATGTCAATACACAAAGCACTTTCAACACCCAATTATTGAGAAATTAGAGTCTTGAAAAATGGAGGATGAATGTTTATAATATTAATAACTTTGTCCAGCCCAGTCACTGTGTGGACGGTTGAATGATCAGAAGGCCATGCGCCAAAAAAGAGAATGAAATCTATAGTCCAGAGCTTTTCTTGTGAGTATGCATGTGGGTTGGATTGACCAAAAACCTGATTACAGTGTATTTTTCCGTAGCGATCAGTATTGATAATTATCTAACATTTTTTTCCCCCTAATGCTTGGTGTTGAGTCTGAATAGTTTTTTTGAAAAAGATGGTTCTGGTAGGATATAGAAAATTATGTATTCTTAAAATATCTATAAAACTTAAAATAGAAAATACTTTAAACGTATATCGTCACTGTTCAACGAAAACCATGTATCTCCATTTTTGTCGATTTTTCAGTTTTCTACATTTCAGCTCACCAGCTGTCCTTTACATTGTGTGAAAATTTTGTGATGAATGGACCAATAGAAATGCTCTAAAATCACTTGGAATAAAACCTCTTTACATTAACTTACATTGAAAAGTAAGAGTGTTTTGCACTCTCCCATAAAGTCCCTATTTTGGAGATACTTGTTTTTCTTTGGACAGCAACGACATGCGTTATGGAAGGGATTTGTCCAGTAAAGAAAGAAAGAAAGAAAGAGATAGATAGGTAGATAGATAGATAGATAGACAGATAGACAGATAGACGCTTTATTGATCCTGAAGGAGATTTGGCAGCCAGTATCAGTCACACAACACAGGACAGTTATAATAAGATGGGTGATACAACATAAAAAGAAGCATATATACTAAAAAAAAACTTTTTTGCAGGCATATATACAAATAGAAATATACAAAAATATGCAATAAGATCTATAACCTGAGATAAAAAAGGCAGTGCAAAAGTGAATGTACAAGGAGGTGCAGGTAACAGCGTATAATGACAATGCCAAGTAAAATTGTGAACTGTATGGTCAGCGCAATAACCATTAACCAAAGGGCATACAGGTTTAGGGTGTCAATAAACCGAACACTTTCAACACCCAGTTACTGAGAAATTACTTTGCAAGGGGACGTGACAAATGGATTCTTGTAAAATGGAGGATGAATTTGAATAATGATTAGTATTTAGGGCTGAAGAATAAGATATACAATAAACCTGGACATTAAAGGAATAACATGGAAATATGCATTGGATGTTCTGTACAGTTACATTACAGTATGTGCATAATAATGCATTGTGTACTGCGAGCAATAGATACATCAAGGACGTCTGCATTGTTTGTGTTAATAGTTTAGTACAGAATAGTTCAGTATCAGTTTCAGGATCTTAAAAAAATGTTGTTGCTGCGAAGAGTTTAAGACATTGTAGTTCAGTCGCTGTGTTGATGTGGCTTGATAGGGTAACACAGATAATTGATGGAGCATAGATTTAAGGTTAAAGGGGAATTCCACTGATTTTACACAACTTCTGCGTAAGTAAATATCTATATGTAGTTGTAAACACAGAGTAGTTTGATGTAAAATGATTGTAAAGGAACTCACTGACTTCTTTACAAAGATGGTGAAAGGAGCCAGAAGTCATGATGTACATTGAGCAAATACAGCCATTTCACCTGCAAACGACCAGTGAACCTGCATGTGTCTTGTGAGTTTATTCCCCTTTGATATGAGGTGACTTCACCTTTGGGGTATGTGCTAATGTATCACAGTATCAGCCTGAGTCATGGCAGCTCTCTGATAGATGAATAAAATACGTTTAAAGCCAAAACCTTATCTCAAAACTATCATTAAACAATGTCTCAGGCTTCAGGCAGTGTATATAACAACGTCATCCAAAAACTTTCTGTGAGGGAACTTTTAGAGGCATTCAACTCTTCTGACATCTGGTTCCTATCACCACCACTGTGGACAATTCTGACTTGGTAAGTTTCTCAGTGAGCGTTTTACACCAAACCACTCTGAGTGTTTATATCTTAACTGTTTAAATATCCAAAAATGTTGAAAAATCAAAGGAATATCTCTTTTACACTTGTTTGTGGTGTGATAATCTGAGTTAGGCGTTAGATACAGGCAGAGAGAATCCAAGGATCCAAGGATAGGCCCAATCCCAATCCCAAATACACACTACCTCGTCCCTGCTGATGAGCTTTTATCTGAAATCAGAAGGGTATCAGCCGAAAGTGAAGTGCACCAAGCACAACAAGCAAGGCTGAATAAACTGCCCAGTCTAGCATAACTCAGTGTTAGTTTTGCACTAAAGCTTCAAGGTTATTGTAGCTAACAATCAATGGAATCTTAAATAGATCTGCTTATGTGGTTTCTGAAACTGCATTACAGTGTGATCTATAAAATTAACAACACAATTCATGCTTCAAGGTGCTTCTGACAGAAATCACATAAGTGAGTCAGTTGGAGATTAATGAACAGCTTGATACAGTTTGAGGCAAGTAGAAGGGCTAAGGAGAAAATCGTGTAAATGATTTTCACTGAACTTTCGCTTTAAGAAAGGTGAAATAATTTGCAGTGGGACCCACCAGCTTTCTGAGCATTCGGGAAAATGGCTTAGGCCCAATCCCATTTCACCACTTAGCCCTTAGCCCTTTTGCACATTCTAGGGGTAGGGTGTCCCAATTTTAGTTGAGATATAGGGGTAGGGTGAAGCGTTAGGGCTACATGGCCCTCCAAACGGAGGTTTTTCAGAGGAGTGTTATGAGAAAAATAGAAAAACAGGCATGATGGCAGTGCAAGCGACCAAATAAACCCACTGATGTGAGTATTTTCTCTGTTAAAAATTACAATAACCATTGTATTATCTTAGTTTAATGTCGTTTCAGTGTATTATGGATCCTTTTCTTCATAACAAGCATTAAAAACCACTAGTAATATGCTCATGTCTCGGTTGCCAGCTAGCTAAATTCCCCATTCCACCTTAAATAGTCCAGCAGTACTGAAGCCTGAAGCGCCAGAATGTAACTGCTTCACTATTTAAGGTGGACCGGGAAAATTTGAACAAGAAGCTGGTGAATAGCTGACTTCAGCTTCATATCACTGAAGAATTAGGGGTGGGTGATAATAAATAACTGCCCCTCTTTGAAGGCATATGATGCCCTAAATGTAACTAAAGCCCAGCAGTGAGGAACTTTACCCTCCTCTGCTGTCACTGCAGACTGGCAGGGTCGCCTACAGAGCAGCACTAGTAGCTGTTAATGAAGTAATGCTCTTCTTTATTTGAGGGTCCCATTTCACAGGGTAGATTTCAACCACTACTCCTTGTAAGGTGACACTCGAAAACAAGGGTAGGGGTAAAAATAAGAAATAGGATTGGGCCGTTGAGGTGTGCCACAGCTTCACCACTTCAACCGCACAATACAGGATGTTCCTCGTCATCGCTTTGCATTCCAGGGCAAAACAAAATAGGAACTTTGCAGCTACAGACGTTTTGCATGAAATGTAATTCGCACTGCTCTTCATATTATTACTGTTCACCTTGTGTCTCTTTACACAGTAAACTGAATCCCATGTTATCTTACATGTCATCTTAATCTGGAAACAATTAGGTGTCACTTTCGCCATTGCTTAAGAAACACCATAGAGGAAACGTGCAGCTATAAATGAAACTCTT